ACAACACCAGCTCCAGAATGCAAGAAGACAAGGTATTTAGGGGGAGCAACACGCGAGTGCACCTTGCAGAATCTGCAGTAAGAAGCATGTAAGTTGCAGAGAGGTAGTGCAGCCCTGAGAGGAAAAGAGCTCTGGGTTCCTGCTGCACTCTTCTCCCAGCAGCCAACAGCATCTGTCTTCTCCTTCAGGCTTTGTCAGCTTCTTTGAGATCAGTGCTGGCAATGTGGGCTGCAACAACACCACCTTTGGTTGAGGTGTTCTGAGGTGGTGACAGCTTAGCCTTTAACACTCACCAGGTCTCTGAATACTGAAGCTCTGCTCATGTTATCTGCAATTGGCACAAAGGTAAAAAGCAACAGTGCTACACCCTGCTGTTCTAACATCTTGTCTGCTGCCTAAGTAAAGGTAGAAATCCAGTGGGAACCTGAGTGGAGAATCTCATATTATTGTGGAGATATGGCTGAGATGAGAGGGAGCTTTCTCAGATATTCCTAATAGAAGCTTCTCTTTAAAACAATGCAATCTTCTGTTTGAAGATGAGCTCTGCATGTAGGTATGCCTTTGCCCCATTCATGCTGGGCAGCCCAGCCAAGCTTAAACACATCAATCTTGACCTGATTTCAGAATGTATTTAAATGTAAGTCAGGAAGCTATCGGTGTGCTCTATGGGTCTTCCTTCACAAGAAGGAAGGCCTTTTACTTAAAACAGCTGGACTGCAGCCCAGGTCCACCTTAGTCGTAACTCCGTGCACATGTAGCTGCTTTGCAGAAACACTTGTGCTCCAATAGTGTCTCTGAGCTCAGACCAGGCAGAGGCAGCAAGTGGAAAAACCCACTGTCCACTGCTCTGCCCTCCCTTTTTCACCCACAGAACAATTTGCAATGACATGAAGATTAGAGCACAGCTCAAAATGAGGGAGATGCACAGTGAGCCATTCCCAGATGTCAAAGTGGTGAATTACGAAAGGAAGATTTCCATATAAAATGTATTATTCAAGCCCTAGGTCAGATAATATAATTTGCTTCCAAAGTAAAACAGATTGAATACAGATCTGTTTCCTGAATCTCTTTTAAAAACAATGCTAATATTAAAAATAAAAAATAAAAAAATCACAATACATCTGATTTTTGTTTTTTTTTTTCTGGAATTACAACCCCCTCTCACCCCTATTTTAAGCACTATTGTGAACATCCCATTTCACCCATCACAGCCTTGCTTTGCAGACAACAGTTTCTAACTGAACGCCTGCGCCTCAACCTGCAAGAAGAGGTTTCTGGGGATAACATACGGCAACTGGTCAGCGAATCAAAGCAGCACAACCAAGGAAGCAAGGTGTTTCCTCAAAACTAAATACAATGTACCTTATGAACATGGTTCATTCCTGCTCACAGCCTGGCAGTGCTGAATGCTGAGAAAGCAAGGCACGATGGCAGGTAGATGTGCTCTCACAGTGGGTATGCAGCCCCCTACCACAGCAGTCCTCCAGCTGAGGAGGCTGCTCCCTTCTCCAGAAAACAGTCTGCCACCTTCATAGAGCCACCAGCTCAAAGAATGACACCTCTGTTTCCTGATGCTCTCTCGGCTCCTTATCCTGCCCGAAGTCTCCTTGGAAGCCTTTCTGTGCTACAGGCCTTCTGGGTAGTTTTCAGAGCATCCACACACTGAACTGTATGTTCCTAAGGTAACTCCGAGACAAAGTATCATCGAGACCACCCCTACCTGTTACCAGTCTTGCTATGCACTCTCTAATAAGGAACCTAAAAGCCTTTCCTTTCGCCTTTCTTGGTGTGACTGTAGCACATCATCAGAAAGCTGTTTGATGCACTTCTGTAAAATATTTTACCTTCATTTTTAGAAGCCATGAAAATACTAAGAGTCAAAGGGATAAAACAGCATGGAACTGCAGGTGCCTCTCTATTGTGTGAGCAACACGAGCTGGGACTGCTGCGTGTCAGCCCTGCAGCTTCAAACTGCATCCTGCACTCCTTGCTCGGGGCTGCGTGTGCTCACATGTGCCATGCAGATGGACGGTCAAGCTCTCTAGTAGACGCAGTAAAACTTTGCTGAAAGTTCATGCGTCTGATTCCTGCCTGGAAACCGTCGGTGCAGAGCCCTGATTTCCCCTCTGCCTTCCCGTGAGTCACTCCGAGCAGCTCAGGCACTGCCGGGTGCCCTCCGCAGCCTACGTGCGCCGCATCACAGCATCACAGGGCTCAGCGGCAGGCTCGGCTCAGGCTGCCTCTCGCCGCCCAATGGATTCACACCGTGTCATCGCTAAAAAAAAAAATCCCTTCTGCTTTTATTTTTTTTTTTTTTCCAGTGGAAAAATATGGTGTGAAGATGGAAACGAGGAGTTTGAGATCGCTTTCAATTTGACTGAAGAACATCACAGATTATCATGCTCACAAGTCAAGTTTTCCCTCACGTGTTATTAAAGTTATGCACACAGTTTAATTAAAAAAAAAAAAAAAAAGGCACGAATTACTTGATTTGTCAAAAGGAAAAAAATGCATCATGCATCAATCAGGGCTTGTCTCCCTATTCTGCAGAATCCTGGACGGCAGCCCCACACGTGCGCGTGTAGGGCTGTGTGCGAGCCGCCCGGAGCAGCAGGGCCCAACTGCAGCGTGCAGTCAGTAACGCACGCTGTAAATATGCTCGCCGTCGTAACACCGAGCAGGAATAACGGCAGAAGGCAGCAGCCGCGCTCCGGCCGGGCCCTGGCACAGCGGAGCTGCTCGGTGCGCGGCCCTGCGGAGGCACCGCCCCGATCTCCGCCCCGCAGGGCGCGGTCCCTTTAAGGCCGGCTCGGCGCAGCCCCGCGCGCACTCCAAGCCCCGCCATCTCTCGCGGTTCCTTCGCTCCTCTCCGCTCGCAGCCCCTCGCCGCCGCCATGCCCATGTTCACCATCCACACCAACGTCTGCAAGGACGCCGTGCCCGACAGCCTGCTGGGCGAGCTCACCCAGCAGCTGGCCAAGGCTACCGGCAAACCCGCGCAGGTGAAGCCCGGGGGGCGGGCGGAGAGCGCTATGCGCGGGGCCGCTCCTCGGGGCCGCGTGGGGATGAATGGGAGATGAGTGGGGAACGAATGGAGGGGTGGGAGCGCTACGCGGGGGCCGCAAGCCGAGCGTCGCGGGCCGGGCAATCGCAGCCCGGCAGTGCTGCCCCGCGGCGATGGGCCGCGCTGGGAGCTGCGGAGCCGGCCCGGCCCTCCGGCCTCCATCTCCGCCGCGTGGCCGCGGTCCGAACGCAGCCTTCGCCTTCCCTCGGCCTCAGAGCCCGGCTCGTGGGTCGGTGCCACTCGCGCTGTGCTTCACCGCGGCCTCAGAAAGGACACGGCGCTATTGCATAATGCTCCGTGCTGTTAAGTGCTCTACCTGCAAAGAGGGCTGCGCGTTATTAACCCTCTGCCCGCTTTGTTCATTGCAGTACATAGCTGTGCACATCGTACCTGATCAAATGATGTCCTTTGGGGGCTCCACGGATCCCTGCGCTCTCTGCAGCCTCTACAGCATTGGCAAAATCGGAGGGCAGCAGAACAAGACCTACACCAAGCTGCTGTGCGATATGATTGCAAAGCACTTGCACGTATCTGCAGACAGGTAGGGTTGGGATGTGGTCCTTTTCATCTGCTGCTTTGGAAACTTCATTTGAAAACATAAAGAGCCAGCAATAAGTGCTTAGGAGAACACAAAGTAATCTCTTGCAGCTCTTCATGTCTGTTTTAAAGTTTGTTGCCTGCATCTTTCCCTTGGAAGTTCTCCAGAAAGCCTTGTAGGAAAGAACACCTGAGCATTGGCAGAGTCCACAGTGCAGATTCATTCACTCCTGGGGTCTGATGTTTCCTCATGGTGGGGCCTGAAAGCACGAGGGAGAAGCAGTAGTAGGCTGGAGCTCACAGGCAAGTAGGAATTAGCTCTACCTGTGCATGAACTGTCTGCAGCCTGCTATGGGGAGTGCCCACATGCAGCAGTGATAGGCAGAACCAGCCTGCTGCCTCACATCCACGTGTTGGAAGGAAGAAGCACAGAGCCTCTGGGCTGTGTGTTGGTCTGCTGTGTGAGACTGCAGTGCTCTGAAACAAGAGGTTGGTCTCTGGAATTGTGGACAGGCTGCTACCCAAAAGGTGCCCGAGTTCTTCCTGACTGAAGAGCTTGTATTGGATAGAAAGAATGGTTCCAGAGGCTCCAGGAATATCAGCTGATGGAGGTTATCACACAATGTTAAACGGGTTTCAGTAAAAACTCTTGTTTCTGGGAGGCAGGAGAGCACTCTCCTCTATCCTGTTGCCTTGTCTCACTCATTGCTTACAGAAACTAGCTAATAACTCATTTTTTGTGTATTCCTGTGCCTCTTCTGCAGGGTGTACATCAACTACTTCGACATAAACGCTGCCAACGTGGGCTGGAACGGTTCCACCTTTGCATAGAGCTCTCCCTCCTGTGCCCAAAGGCTGCTCCCATTCCTCCCCTCATGCTGCCCATTAGAGACCACCACACAGCCGGCCCTGTGCTATTTGTGTGCACTCACGGATGGATGGCTCCTCGTTAGTGTGTTTCAGTACTGCTGCTTCAACATTCCTCTGTTTTCTCTGTGTAGAAAACAAATAAAGATTTAGAAATAAGCTGTCTGGTGTGGCCTTCAGTTGTGGATGGGGCTGGGTGATTGCTGTGGTTGTTAAAACAAATGGAGGATTTGGATTTGTTTCCACGTGTAGGAGCTGGCACTTCACAGTTATGCTGCATGGGAGTGCAGCAGTGCCACAGGGCTGTCTCTACCTCACTGCGCTCCATAGGTGCGCTTAGACCTCTGTTGCCCTAGACATGCTTAGGCCGTGCCGCAGTCAGCGCCGCGCCGGGCTCACAACTTCCACGTTCCCCTCAGCCGCCATCTTGGCTCCCCCTCCCCTCACGGCGCAGGCGTTCCCGGCTCCTCAGCGCCCTCTCCCGCCTTTCTGGAGTCTTCCGTCGCGCGAGACCGTAACGTCATCACGGCGCGCCCCCCTCAGGCGGCCATGGCGCTGTTCGCGGTCAGCAGGTGGGCGGCGCGGCGCGGGGCTGCGGCCATGCGTGGCGGCTGTGCGTGACGGGCTGCTTGTCGGCCGTTTCAGGTACGTCGGAGAGGAGGAGGAGGAGGAGGATGCGAACCACGAGGCGCAGGAGGAGCGGGCTCGGACCCTGCTGGAGCGGCTCCGCGAGCAGGCGAAGGCCCGGCAGCTGACCCGGCAGCGGGAGCTCGGCGGAGCGGGACCGGAGGATGGAGCCGCGGAGGGGAAGAGAAACGTAGAAGGTGCCGCGCAGGGCCGGGAAGGGCTGAGGAAGGAATGCGAGGGCGGCAGTGCGGTACTGAAGAGGAAGAGAGAGAGAGAGCCGGGCCCTGCGGCAGGTAACGGTGACACTGCCGCCCTCACCGCCATCTGCTTCCTGAGCAATTCCTTTTCTAGTAGAAAACACGATATTGCAAACATCGGGGACCGGTGCAGTGTAAGGGAAAAAGGGCTGCGTGTCAGCACGGTGCTCAGCTGCCCCCGTAGCACCAAAGCAACGTTTGGCTCTTGTGCTTGAATTCGGGGATAAGCTTGGTTAAGTTCTGTGATGGAAAACATTCCCCGTATCCCTTTTCTGTGGCACGTTGTGATCTATAGCTCTGCGTTGCTGTTACCTAGATTCTGAAGGAGACACCGAACAGCGGGAAGACAGGAGCAACCTTAAAAAAAAATCCTCTAAAAGGAAAAAGAGGGATGAGGGAACTGAAGGGGCTGATGCGAGGAAGAAAGAGAGCAGTGAAGGAGCTGAAGGAAACCAAAGCGCAGAGGAGGAGCTGCCCTCGGCAGCCTTGGGGGAAGAAGCACAACCACCACCTTCCAGCCTGGCAGTTCTTGGAGATTATGATAAAAAGCCTGTGCAGAAGGTAATTGCCTTGACAGAATTTTGATGATAGCTAGGAATGAAAAGGTGCCTCATTAGCATGTATTTAGTATATAGCTTTGTCTGTTTGGTGGCAAAAAAGCACCTTGCTACTCTCTTTTTCTCTCACCTCAGGTACAGCCCTTCTTGCCACACTGGCTTGCTCAACCCAAGCTAGTACAAAAACGTATTAAAGAGAATCTAATTCCAATCAGAGATGTCCCAGGAATTCACCCCAAGCTGTTGAAAAAGCTGCAAATGAATGGAATAGAGTCCTTTTTTCCAGGTACCTTGTTAGTGCTCTTCTTTCTCTAAATTTGTTTACATATTTCCTTCACTCTTGCTCTATGATTTGTGTAGTCAATGAGATGAAGCATGAAACAAAAGCAAGCTTAATGCATTAATGAATTCAGTTTTTAACCTCTGTTTTCATGAGGTGTGTGTTCTAGTAATTGAAGGCTGTTGTCTAGTCATAAATGCAACTACACAGAATGTTTTGAAGCAATAGCGCACAGAAACCGAAAGAGGGAGAGCTTGCTTTTGTTATTCCACTTCTTCTACTTAGTTCCCTGGCTGCTAAACCTCTCAGATGAAACAAGATCGCTGGTTTGTGAGGACGAGTTGTGAGGGAGGGAAATAAGAGAGTTCACAGCTGGCAGTCATAGCCGTTGTTTTTACAGGACTGTTTCTTTCAGTCCTTGTAGCAAACTCTCTTGCAGCAAACTTTCTTGTAGCACCCTCTTGCAGCAAACTTGAATGACTTCAAAGCCTATGGAAAGTGTTTGTTTTGCTCCTTGGCAGGTAATGCTGATTTTCCTTGATGCATATTTTGTGTACTTCAAAAAAAAAGGATGCTCACAGACAAGTATCCGTGGGTTTTAAATCTGCCCAGTACCATCCCAATATGAATACAACAATATGGGCATGTGTTGAAAACAGTATTTGACAGAGTAACATCTATTCTGAGCATAAGAAATAGCTGAATTCTTGGGGAAGGAAATCTCTGTGCTCAATGCTAAGCTCACAAATGAAAAAGACCTGGAGGAAAAAGCAGACAGTATCTGTACTGGTTTTACTTCTTCTAGTCTTACACCTGCAGCAGCAATGGTACAGATGTGGACACAGATTTGTTGTATACAACATGGATTTCCTAGATAAACCAGTCTTAGTCTAGTTAATTAACTCTGCAAGTAATGTGTGTTTCCATTTCTGTTCAGTTCAGGCAGAGGTGATACCTGCTGTTCTGCAGAGTGCATCCAATGGGTATTTGATGGGGCAGGGAGGATACCGCCCCAGGGACATCTGTGTCTCAGCACCCACTGGCAGTGGAAAAACCCTGTCTTTTGTCATCCCAATAGTGCAGGTGAGTTTTTACTACCAGCAAAATACCTGTAGGGAAAACGTGGAGTTGCTTTTGTTCAGGCAAAACTTAAACTTAAAAGTAGATGAGAAAGCCGAGAAACTTGTGAATGCCAATCAGCAGGGATTTTTGCTCAGAGCTGTGTGAAGGGTCTACATGAACCCACTTGTGCTCACTGCTCTTCTGCAGACAGCTGACAAAACACGAGGAGTTGAAAGGGAATAAAACAGAAATGTAAAACTCTGGGAGGACGTGTGAAGCCTCTCTCTTCTCATTAGTTTAAAGAAACTCCTTCTCACCCCGTTGTGTTAGGGCCTCATTTGACCTTTGTTTTTACAGGTTCTGCTGGATAGGGTAGTTTGCCAAGTGCGAGCTCTGGTTGTTCTGCCCACCAAGGAACTGGCACAACAGGTAAGTAGCTCTTCACCTTTCTAGCTGAGCAGAACTGTGCTGAAAGAAGGGCTGACGCAGTAAATATTTGCATGGCTGTTCAGGAAAGCAGGCTGAATGCTCTGTCAGTGGGATTGTTAATGAAAAGTATCAGTTTCACTGATTTTCTTGCAGCTAACAAAGCCCGTTTCTTTACAGGTGAGTAAAGTGTTCAACATTTACACCGATGGGACAGGTCTGAAGGTTGTATTGATTACTGGCCAGAAATCTTTCGCAAAGGAGCAAGAAATGCTCGTCCAGAAAAAGTAGGTTAAGTGGTCTTTTGATAAGGTTTATAGAGGTTGTAAACTCTAATCTCCACAAGCAGAGGTCAAAATACAAACTGTTGTATTGCACCATCGTGCGAGAAGATTTTGGATAGTGGGTTTATATGCTAGAGGCTGTTGTTGTTTTTTTCCCAGGTGCCTGCTTCAGTTCTTTCTTGCAGTTGTTACATTTTCAGATTTTTAGGGCTCTTCAGTACCTGAGTAGAATGAAACACTGTGTGCCCACAGAAACAACTGACCTACTGCTTTTTGCTGCAACTTTCCTTAAGTGTTCTGTTCTGACTTGCATCGAAGAATGTTACTTTTTGTTTAAACTGGGGCAGTACAATGGAGAGCAGGATTTAGTGCCCAGTATTGCTTTTGTTTGCTGGTAAATTGGATATTTGAATTGCAATTCTAAAATTACCATAAATGAAAAAACACGTGGAAAATCTTCGGGCCTTCTTACCAAAGATCTCTGTTACATGCTTTACAGCGTGGGGAGAAGCTTACTGATGAGCAGCTTGTTCTTGCAGGGTGACAGGCTACTGCAGCCTTGCTGATATTATTGTGGCCACACCAGGGCGGCTCGCAGATCACATCAGCAAGACCCCAGGGTTCAGCCTGACGCAGCTTCGCTTCCTGGTGAGTCACCTCCACACGTCTCCCATTGCAGAGCACGGGCTGTTGGGTCTGTAATTCTTGCTTTGTTCTTGCACAGGGCATAAATATATCTGTGTTGGAACTGTTGTGTGTACTTGGTTCGTGCTTTAGGCAGTTCATGCAGCTGCCTTAAGATGAGAAGTTCTGTTCCCACTTGTGACACTTACTTACCCTTGCAGACACAAAAAATAGTGTGTGGTGTTTTGTTTTTTTTTTCCCAGGGTTAATTATCAGGGTTTCAAGTTCCACCATATTGGAATCTGTATAGAGACATGGCTTCCAACTTAATTAGGGTTTGAAGTGTTTTCTCTTAAATACAAACATGTATTTGCAGAAGTGCAAATGAACTTGTGTGTGGTTTGAGTGTCTGGTTGGCTTCTGAGCAACTGAAATGAAAGCAGAATTCAGTTTGGGGATAGAAAGGTGTGCCTTCATTTGAGAAAAGATGGGCAAAGTAAGCATTTCTGTTGATGAGAAGCTTTTATACATCTTGGATTCTGGCTCACTGTTCTAGATTTAAATAAATAAATGAGCTGCCACATTCAAGAGTGTTTAACATGTAGTTTTTTTTGTCTTTGTGGCTACAGATCATAGACGAAGCTGACCGTATGATTGATGACATGCACCAGAATTGGCTGAACCAAGTTGTCAAAGCTGCATTCCAAGCAGAAAATGAAGCTGGTTCCAGTACACTTTTTCAGAGGACCAAACCAGGGCCTGTAACAGCAGCTGGGTAAGCTGCAAAATGCATTTCTTTGAACTGCTTGCAAGGATATTCAGAGAATTGTCTGCCAAAGTGAGGCAGCTACTTCAAAGCTTGAAAAAGCAGGCAGTGAACAGCTGGTATTAAAGGATGTCTTTTAGGCTGAAATCTAAGTATTGTCTTCTTCAGGCGTTCCTTAACTAGACTAAAGCAGCATCCAAAGAATACACAAATAGTGCAAGTCTCTGAATCATTTACACAGCAAACAATAGCACTGCCCTCTGACATACTGAGTCATTTGAAGGAAAGTGCTGAACTGTGCATCTGCAGCTGCTCTTTTCAAATAGCATGGCAGAGGTGCATCAGAAACCGAGATCAGCAGTGAAGGAAGGCAGTGACTCGGATTGGGGCAGGGGTAACTGGGGCGCAAGGTAACAAATGAGGGTTGAGCAGTTGAGTTGAGAATGCTGATCCAGTTCCATCTGTGAGCTCCACTGTTAAAGGAGAGTGGGAAAGATCTTACCAGTGTGGGAAATGGGTGTCAAAGAGTTAATTGTTTCCCTCATAACATCATCTGAAGGCACGTGGGGGGGAGTTCCTTTGCCCTATTCTCAGAGTTCAGTTTCCATATGCTGTTCATTTCAGCTGCTGTTACCCTCAGATACCCTTACAGAAACTGCTGTTTTCAGCTACGCTGACCCAGGACCCAGAGAAGCTGCAGCAGTTGGGCTTGTTTCAGCCTCGCCTCTTCACGTCTGTCTACTCTGAGAAAAAAACACTCAGAGATGGAACAGAGACCGAACAGGATTCTGAAGAGAAGTACACCCTGCCTGAGGGGCTGTCGGTATGATATGAATTCTCTTGCAAATGTAGAAGTAACCTATGTGGTAGCTGTTGGAAAAAAGAAGGTGTTTGAGTAAATTAGACTTTGAGATTAGTTTAACTCTGGGATATCTAGTGATGTTTGTAGCCTATGAATAAATACACCTTTCCTTCAACGTCTTGTGTTACAGAGATGCTGAGAGAAAGTGGCTTTGGGAGTTTTTGTGACTCCAAGAGCTCTGCCTTCACTCACCTGTTTTCTCATTACTGTTTGTTTGGTTAGGACCGGAATTCTTTAAAATTAAACTCTTCATACCAAATTAAATTTGCTTGCAAAAGGGAGTGGAGATAAGCAGCAATGTACACTTCTCAACTGCCCGTCTCAAGTTGTATTTTACACATGTATTCTAAGGCATGTGAATACAAATCCATCTGCAGACCAGAAGGCAGTGTGTGTTGTTACTTGCCACAGAGAAGTGAGAGCACTAGAACAACATAGGTCTCCTGCCTCTGCCTGGTGCTGTGTTGCTGTGACTTGTTCTAAATAGGGGGTGGCACTGTGGGAACTGGTTTTGTTGCAAAACATCCAAGTCTATGTAGGTTATGGACAGGTAGTAAGTTTCAGGGAAGAAAGCCCTGGCAAGAACTAATTTGTCTCTGAACTTCTTCCCTGATGACTGCAGCAAAGTTACGTGCCTTGTGACCTGAATTCCAAGCCATTGCTCCTCTTGCACTTCATGCTGACAAAGAAGTTCACCCGTGTGTTGTGTTTTACCAACTCCAGAGAGGCTTCCCACAGGTGAATATATTCCTGAGGCCATTTGGCAGATAGCGGCCACGGTGGTGTTACAGTGAAGTGGTGAGGTGATGGTTTCTGTCCCATCCACCTGCAGATTGTTCCTGCTTGTTCAAGCTTTTGGTGGAATCACTGTGGCTGAGTTTTCTTCTCGGTTAGCTCCAAACGAGAGACAGAGAACCATGAAGGAATTTGAACAAGGAAAGATACAACTGTGAGTATCTTAAATGAGTTTCCTGTAAGTCTCAGGACATACACTATTTCTAGTGTAAAACTAGTTAGAATTAAGAGGATATTTAAACAGGGCTCCCCTGTAAAACAGCGTGCAGGAATGAGTTGAAAAACGTGGGACCTGGCTCAGATTGGCAGCTGGGTTTACTATCCATGCTATCCATTTCCATCCATAATTTTGATTCACTTTGTGATGTTCATAACTGTATTGGGATTGCATCTGTGAAATGTCCCCCAAAAGAAGGTAAATGTTTATTTTCTGGATTTTCTTTTTGTCCAAACCGTGTATTTAAATTCTTCCTTGATTACTGGCAGACACCTCACTGTCTGCATTCAGTACCTTTAAGGAATGCTCAGATGTTTACAGGTTTGTAACCTGTGGTGTGCTGGCAGCTGTCTGGCTCAGTGCTGCATGCTTGGAGAGCCTGGAAATGCTTTATAGCTTTTCATATGTAACTGTAGTGGCACTTAGAACAGGCAGCTAATGCCAGTTACACTCTGTGACTTACAGTGCTGCTTGAATGCTTAGTGCTCAGAAGTTGACTGCCCAGTTTTAACAGAGATTAGCAGTAGCTGTGCTGTGTTCAACTGTTTTCTATGTGTTTGTGGAATGGCAGAGATGTTACCTGAAAATAACTGTATGAATATTGAAAACCAGGTTAATCAGCACAGATGCCACTGCTCGAGGGATTGACATTAAAGGAGTGAACTGTGTAATAAACTATGACACACCTCAGTTCATCAGGACATACATTCACCGGTAAGACAAAGCAGGGGCAAAAGGGAGATGCTGGAGCCTGGTGCTCTCTGAAATACTTAGTATAAGCAACATGCACTTAAAAAAATCCAGAGCTGAAGCTCCTTTTCACTTCAGTGTAGAGCTAACTTCTTAAATCAGAAGCTAATTCATGGCATCACGAGAGCAATGTAGTATTAAAACAGAAATCTAGCACCCTGTTATATAAAATGTGTTTTATAGGAGCTAGAAACATTGTCCTGAAGAACGTCAAGTTGGGTTTCCAGAGGCTCAGAACACTGCAGAGGCTCAGCAGCTGTAAATGGACTCTGGAAATGTTCATCCTTTGTAGCACATGGCTAGCTCTGTTAAACATAAAAATCCAGACTTCCTCCTAAATCTGGAGAGTTTCACAGTCAGGCTCCTGAAGCAGATGTGGCAGTGACTACTGCATGAGTGAACTGACCTGATGTTCCTTCTCCTGATTTCAGTGTTGGAAGAACAGCTCGTGCAGGGAAAGCAGGCTTAGCTTTCAGCATGGTCCTCAGAATCCAGGTATGTCATCGGTATGAGATTCATTTGAAATGGAAAGGTGGAGGACTGTAAGGAACAGGAAGTTCAAATTGCTTTTCACCTTCTCCAGTCAGCTGTTTTGTACTTGGAAAAATCTTTATTCAGTCACTGTGACTGGGCAGAAAATCCCAAAATGTGCTCATTTTCCAGCTGAGAGACAGCAGGCTGCCCCCTGCGAAGGGGAGGCACTCACTTCTTTGTCTGCTGTGTCTGTTTTGTTGTGCAGGAACGCAGGTTTCGGCAGATGTTGAAGGATGCTGGCATTCCAGACATAAAGCAGCACTTGGTCAAGGGCAAGTCGTTAAAGCCATTGGTGCAGCAATATGAGGAGGCTCTATCTAAACTAGAGAGGACAGTCAAGGTGAGTGCAAGAGGGAAGAACAGCAGAAAATGGGGAAGGAAATTAAAAATTTAAAGCTACAGTTTACAGTTCGTTGCAAGTCATGACAAGCACAAGTATTAGTGTCCAGAAGCCTTCTCTTGGACTGAGACATGTCTGTTCTGGTGTGAAGGAAAGCATTTTCTGCAGACCTTTACACACCAGTAAGAAAGTTGAGAGCTTTTGGACAGAAGCAGGATAGCATTTAACTTGCCACGTTGGTGGACAAGGGAACTGTAACGGATAGTTTTGTGCTGTGTGATTTGAGTAAGTGTTCTGCTCTCTTCTTTGAGGACTTGACAAACTTTTGTTCTTGAAGAATTACGATTTTGAGTTGCAGATTTGGATTATTAGGGGCAGAGCAGAACAGATCATGATACTTTGCTGCCCAAAGTCCCTTCTGTATGGCCCTGGGCAGAAACATTTCCAGTCACCTTCTCAACTTTAATTTTGAACAGGTCGAGCGAGCACAGAAAAGAGTCTGAATGAACGCAGGCAGAGGTGGCTGTGCTTCATGGCACGGAAGATAACCAGCACAGTAACAAGGAGATGTGGTTCCTGAGCTCGGTGCTCATCTCCTCAAGCTTATCTTGTCTAAAATCAGCTGTTACATGCCTCATTCTCGTTTCGAGGACACAGGAAACAGGCTTAATTTACTGGCTTTCAAGAAGCAAATGCAATTGTTTTCGAAGAGGATTTTGCATCATTGCCCAACTGGCATATTGACAACTGCCTCCAGTGAACAGAAGAGCCATGTCCACTTCTTGGTCACGGGTCTGATGGAGCTGCTGGTCACCAGATGTGTGGGTTGTGCCTTTTTTGCCTCTGAAATTGGACAGCTCAGTTCTGCCATGTTGTGCAAGGAGCTGCATCCTCATGAAAGCATAGGAATGCGTGCAGTGCAGTGCCTGGAGCAGAATCCTTCGAAGAACCGTTGTAGATTGAATGAACTGCAACTTTTAAATAAATAGACATCGTATATTTTAAAAAGATTTTATGTATACTATCCCAAAGTTTCTGAAATACAGAGGTGATGACAGTGGATTTTGGGTTGTATTGCTGTGTCTTTTTGTTATTTCCTTGCCTGCATTGTTTCCTTCCTATCAGTACAAGGGGTAGCAGCAGCTGTGCTAAGTGTTACTGTTAATGCAGACTAAAACATCTCATGTCTACTATGAATTTAAGAGCCTTAATTCTATATTTACCTCTGGTATTTTCAGCCCCTGACTAACAACTGCCTGTGGTTGTAGCCTCCACCAGCCCTTGGAGACCTGCAGGAAGAGATCCAGCTCTGGCTTTTGTTGTTTTGTAAAACAATGTAAATGTACACCATCGTTGGCAATACAATGATGGAGGAAAAATAAAAGGGAGGGTATTGGAAAGCTTGGAGGGATGCAAGTCGGGGAAGACGTTCACATGCTGTAAGCACAGCAGGAGCAACATGTGACTGTCACAGCAGCCAAGCCTGCATCTGTCCTCCTGCTGCTCGGGTGCTGTACCTGCCTGTCAAGTTGGTTTTGCCATGATCCAGTTTGGTCATGGAGGAGATGTGTGCAACGCCCTACACCAGAACTGCGAGTTCCCATGAACGAACTCGCCCGGGCACAGCATCCCATTAATCAAGTGCCTTCATGTCTTATCATTCAGTGATTAAGGACAGTGATTAAGCCGAACCAGGTCCTGATGACACGTTGCAGAACTTCGCCCTGTGGGTCCTGGGGAGCGGCTGCATCGTGGGTTCGGTTCGGGCGGTGCGGAGCAGAGCCGGGAACGGGGCAGGAGCTCCGGGTCCGCCTCCGCGGTGCCGCCCCGCCCCGTGCCGGCGTCTGCGGGACAGAACGGACAGGACGGCAGCGAGGGAGGCAGCATGGGGCTGGAGCTGTACCTCGATCTGCTCTCGCAGCCTTGCCGGGCGGTTTTCCTCTTCGCCCGGTGCAACAACATCCCGTTCGAGTTCAAACGGGTGGAGCTGATGAAGGGTGAGCGGGGATGGGAAGGGGCCGCTGCCCCCCGGTAGCAGCGGGCGGGGGATTCACGTCCAGTGTGGAAACTGCGGTTGTTACGGGGCGGTGCTGCCGCCCTCGTCCCCACCTCGTGCTGAGGTTCTGCAGAGCTGTGTGCGAGCTCTTTGAAAACAGTCCATCAGAAAATGGGGGACAGAAAAAGAGACGTCGTTCTGAGAAGTAAGGCTCCTCGGGGTGCCGGCCAAAAGGCGATGGGAAGTGCACCCAGCAGCGTGGGGTTCGCCCCTTCCAAGTAACGGGAGCTCCGTGCTGCAGTACAGTGTGGTTCTCCTCTGGGTGTAGCAGTGGGGCACAGTGGGGTGAAGTCATGCTGACAGCACTGGGAGATGGCGAAGGCAGGGGAGGGTGAAGTGCAGCAGTCAGAATCAGAAAGCTGAGGGCTGCAGAAGGGAGAAGGGCTTTTGTTTGTTCCAGAACCAACTGACAGAGGGTAGGAGCCCCTCAGAGAGGTATCGTTTTCATCAGAGGACGTCTGGAGATCTGTATCTCTTTCCTTTGCTGGTAAAAACTGCCTTTCAGCCTTTCCAGTGGTCTGTTGTGAAATTCGGTGAATGTATTGGGATTAAAATGCAAGATGAGAAGGTTTACGAGGCTCAAACTGATAGAGAAACAAGAGAGGCTCCAGCTTGTTATTAGAAAAACCTCTGGGTGTTGTGGTTTCTGCTCTGGGTGTTCCCCTTCGTGCCTTGGCTGCTCACCGAATGCACTTGATGCTGCTTTCCTCTTAACGGCCTGTCTCAGTAGGGGCTGATTGCAGCTGGGGTAAAAGCCCATACAGTGTCTTTTCCCTTGTTGCCGATGAGTGGTTGTGGTGAGACGTTGATCCAAATGAGAAGAGGCTGGCAGGCAAGCAGAGAGATCATGAAGAGGAATGGAAAAATTGAAAGAGAATTACTCAGAGATTGGGTTTGCCAAGTTCTGGGAAAATAAACCTTTTCCAGAGCATCTCCTGGGGCACAAAGATTCCCAGGTGACTCACGCAGGAGGGCAATGACAGGGGGAAAGGCACTGGAGAGATGTGACTGTGGAGATGCACGTGTGTGACTCTGAAGCCAGGGGCTGGGAAGAGGCTGGCGTGAATGAAGGTGTCTGGGTTTGGGTCCAGAGGTAACAAAGCACAGCGGGACTCCAAAGGAACAAAACGCCTCTGGTTGGCTTTACTCTGCCTGCTTTACAGAGGAGACCTAAAAGATGGCTTAAAAGCAAACTCACGTCTGTTTTTGCTCTGATCTATGATAAAGAAAACTCGCACAAAGAGCAAAGAGCTTATTGATGTGTTTGTAATAAAGTTCTCGTGGCTTTATATGGAATCATAGGAATTTGTTTCCTCTAAACAGAGGACTGTAAAGAGAGTTTAATATGAATTTTCTCATTTTCCAAGAAAAAGGAAAAAAAAAAAGAAAGGGAAAAATTGCTTTCTTTCTCACTACCCCTGTGGTTAACCCACTGTGTCTGTGGTACTGAGATCCCTTCCCCCCAAAGCTCCTTGGTGTTCATGCCCTGACAGGTGCCTCCAAGCACAAAGTTTGTGCTGATACCGCCTTGAGTTGACAAACATTGCTGGTATGAAAGGACTCTGAACCTTTGTCAAGAGGTTGTTCTGGTATGCAGGCAATAAGTGGTACAGGGCTGTATTTGTACAAAGCCAGAAATGGTCCATGTGTTGTCCGTGGGCTCCTCAGCTGATCCCAGATGGGTGCTGAGCACCACTGATGAGAAAAAATCTCTCATTTCCCTCAGGGCAGCATAGGACCGAGGAGTTCAGGAAGGTGAACATGCTGATGAAAGTGCCTGCACTGAAGGATGGTTCCTTCACCTTGGCAGAGAGGTAAGGCACAAATAAGCTCAGTCCTCTGCTGAAGCACTGTTTGTCCCGATGCTTGATGAAAACTCTGAGCTGCTGCTTGGAGCTAGCTTGCATGCAGGCAATGTTTCTGAGCTCAGACACCTGCCCCTATGTCCTCTGCTCTCTGCCTTCAGCTGGGGGCTGTAGTTCAATGTGTAGATCTGTCAGAAGGCACCTGCTGCAGGATGGCCTGGCAGCGCTAAGCTCTGAGTTGGAATGAACTCATTCTGTGGTTTATGTACGCTCTGAAATGTCTGCAGGGTAACTGTAGCACAGCCAGGCAGATGCAATGGTGATGCCTGTTGGTGGTCATGCAATGGTGGCCTGCTGGTGACACGATGGACGATTGCTGTCCCTGAGCAACCAGCAAGCCAGCACAAACTCTGCCATGTGCTGTGACCACCCAATGATCACACATTCTCACTTATACCTGACTTAAATTACATTTGTACTGCTGCTCACACAGCAGTGCAGTATTTGGGAGAAGGAGAAAGGATGAGGTGCCTTCACCTCAGCTTACCACTCACTGCTCTGTCCTGCTCTCTGCCAGCGTTGCCATCCTCATGTACCTGGCCCGGAAATTCAAGACTCCCGATCACTGGTATCCCTCTGACCTGCAGAAACAGGCCAGAGTTGATGAGTTCCTGTCATGGCAGCAGGCCAACATTCGTGGGAAGGCGAGCAAGGTGTTCCTTTGTAAGGTAAGGTACACTAAAAACTGAGAGCTGAGAGCGCTACGGCACCCCTCTGTGTGCTGGGCCTTTCTAAGTGAGCATGCAAACCGGGTGACAGGAACAAACCTAGACCTGGGATTGATGTGGCTGGTTGGTAGTAGATCTTTGCCCAAATGAAGCAGTCTGAATCCTTCGTGCTGCAGCCATAGCTCTGAAGTCTGTGGGGCTCATTCTTTGTCAGTGCAGACCAAGCAGTGTGCATGGTGAATGTACCCTGTATGAACAGCAAGCAGCAGGCACAGCTCGCTGCCTTCCGCCCAGCTTCATGGAGAGAAGGAACATCCCACTGGAAAACAAAATGCAGCTGTTTAAAGATGATGCAGCCCTCCCTTGAGAGAAGACTCGTGTGGCTGAAATTTCAGACTTTCTAGGGAGGAGACACAGACAGATGGGAAGCAAAGATGGTTACTGACATTCATCTGTTCAACAGCTTGTTCTGTTCAACAAACAGCTGTTCTTGGGCACGGACACTGGGGGGATCCTTAGAAGAAGGCAGTTTGAGGCCTGGACTTTGTTTAGAGGGAAACGTGCAAAAAGCAGTGTCTGTTCTTTTCCCTGCCAGGTGCTGATTCCTCTCCTTGCAGGCCAGCCACTGCCTTCAGAGAAGTTGGAAAGTGCTACTGAGGAGCTGAACGTTGTCCTGAATCAGTTTGAGGAGAAGTTCTTGCAGGGCAAGCCCTTCATTGCGGGCAGTGAGATCTCCTTGGCAGACCTCGTGGCCGTGGCGGAGCTCATGCAGGTGAGCTTCGATCACGGTGCTGTCAGATCTACAAGCTGGGCTGTGGGCAGCAGCATCTCTGTAGGACAGATCCTTCTCTCTGCAGTTTAGTCTTCAGTGGAATTAAAACTTGTTCCTTTTTGACCACAAGCAGAATTGAGTTTGCCAGGGAATTTCTCTTTAGAGAAGTTTGGACAAAATTTTCATTTTCTGGTATTTTTTCCAGGAAAAAAGGAAAAAAGTAGACAGAGGAAGATGAAGGAGAGATTGAAAGAACACAGATTCAGGAGAGAAGCTGAACTGCATTTGTCTTGAGGCAGCTGAATGTAAGGTGCTCATTGACCACTGCTTTGTCTTTTGAGCAGCAGAGCAGGGACTCCTCACCCTCCTTCCTAGACAACTGTAGCGCTGTGTGTGCTGTGTAGAAATAAAGTCACTTTCTGTTTTAGGGGAGAATAAATCTATTTGATTGTCTCCCACTACCAGAATTCAGTGTCATACAATGAGCTACAGAAATCACAGGGATTTGGAAGAGGCACATTGGTGTGTGTGGAGCTGTGTGTTCCACGTTACACAGTCTGGGGGTCTGCCACAGCTGTGCTTCCACTGCAGCTCCCAGGGGACAGCACTGCTTCCTGCAGGTTAAGAAGCAGAGATGAACTCCACCTAATGAACTCCGTGACTTTGTTGCCTCAAAGGAGAGGCACGTCTGTGCTTTGTTCTGCTCCCAGCCCTGGCTGGCTGCTGGCAGGGAAGCCTGATGCCTGGGTTCTGTTGCTCTCTCTGCAGCCTGTTGCTTCTGGCCACAACTTCTTTGAGGAGAGGCCCCAGTTGGCGGAGTGGCGCAGGAGGGTGGAAGAAGCCGTGGGGAAGCAGCTCTTCCAGGAAGCACACGAAGAGATCCTGAATGCCAAGAATGTGCCCGCTGAGAAAATGGCACCTGAGCTGCGGGAGCACTTAAAGCAACAGCTCTTAAAGCAAATCAATTAGAACAAAGGGTGTCACACTCCAATTAAAATGAATTATTTTGTGTAAGCTTTTAGTAAAATTTCAATATTTCCTCCAGTAATAGTACAAAAAACTGCATTCCAGAAAATGCGCTTCAATTACAGTCTTTTTGCAACTTAGAAGGGAAGAAAACTACATCTTGGACTGCAGGCAGGCAGCCCTTGGCTGCTTCCCCTGCCCAGAGGGTAAGGGAGCTCCTGGCCACTAGAGGCTGCTGTGTTACAGATCAGAGCAAAGGGACCCTCGGAGCGAGGGAGCTGTGCGAGTTTTCGAGTGAGGTCTGAGAAGGATAGGGTGAAGCCCATGAACGAAGATCCTCAACAACAGCCTTATGCCATCGTTTACATAGCTTATGCACAGTTGAGAAAAGCTGGTTTTCTAGCTGAAATCACTGCCAACCACGTGGGAGCCTTCCTCAAACCACATCGGTGCTCCATCCCTTCCTCAGACAGCTCTATGGAATGCATTTAAACCAGGTTCCCCGCTGCTGAATGCTGCTGTGGCTGTGGCTGTACTGGGGGCAGAGGGGGCTTGGTGGCCAGCCCCAGGGCAAGTGCACTGCTTAGCAAGCAAGCTAACTAATGCTGAAATAATGTTCATGTTCCACTACTCTTCTGTCATGACATATTCTCCAGTAAAGTTAATTGTTACACTTGCAGTGTGGCCTAGCTCTGTTTGGATTTGTAAACAGAACTGAGAAAGGGGCAGCCCTGGATTCCTTACACAGACCTGTGTGGTTCCCTTTCATAACCTCCTCACGGCCTCCCCTTGCACACCTTCCTGTCCTCTTCCAGTTTCTGCCCTTCCATTTTCCAGGTAAGAACTATGAATCCTCCCAGTTTGCATAGCTGTTTTTTCCTCCTTGTTTAACACTGCTTTCAGCTGGAAGTCTGTGGTCTGCTAGGTGGTTACACTGCCCACAGTGATGGCTGTGTGGTGCAGTGGGTTTGAGGTGTCTGCCATGTCAATGCTAGTCCAGTGACAGCAGTGCTCAGAAAAGATGGAAACAGCTGCTCAGTCTCACATCTCCTTTCAGCTGCACCTGCGGTTTTGGGGAACAAGCCATCTGTTTATTTGAGTTTCCTGAGTAAACCTGCCCTCTAGATCAAAAGGCCACCACGAACCAGAGTTTGCAGTGTGTGTCCCCCAGGTATGAGCTAAGCCAGGCAGATCAATCCTCTCTCTGGTCTTCCAGCTTGCAGGATATCCTAAATGTCACTAGTGAGAAAAGCAAAGTTTGCCCAAAAAACGCTTTCATTTTCTGCGCTGACACAAGCAGAGAATAACTTGTTTTCTCTGATTTTTATTATCTTCTTGCATTCTGCCCAGCAAACTCAGTAACTTGCCCTGAGAGTATTTGCACTGTTGCCACCTGACCTGTAACTGCTGTAGGTGCTGCTCTGCCGTAGCAGCTTGCCTGTAGTTCTGAGCCTGAAGAAAAGAGGCTGTTTATGCCATGCTGCCAACCACTTCCTTTCTTCTGCAACCTGCAGCTTACCACATCCAGCTGGCTGGGCTTCGCTCTGAATAAAATAGGTCCCTCCTTGCAACCTCTTTTAGCACTGTTTGTGTAACTTCAAACTCCTCCAACTTCTCCCTTTTTTGTAGAGAGCAAACTTTCTGTTACCAGCATAATAAATTCCTCAGCTTCTGTTCAAGTAGAAACAGACCAGAGACAACAAAAGCCAAGAGCCAAATCAGACAGTCCTCAAATGAGGCTTGTTAGCAGAGCTTTCTTGATATATATTTCCCTGCAGAGCCTCAAGACTGGGCTTTGTGCATGTGAAACCATTGTGAGAGCCAAAGCAAATGCAGGACCAGCACTTGGTCTTATTGAAGCTCATCCCATTGGCCTCAGCCCAGCAATCCACCCTGTCCAGATCCTTCTGTAGGGCCATCCTACTCCCAGGCAGATCAACTCCCAGTTTGGCGTCATCTGCAAACTTACTGTAGGTGCACTCAATCCCCTCATCCAGGTCATCAATAAAGGTACTAAACAGGACATGCCCCAGTTCTGACCCCAGGGGACACCACTTGTGATCTGTCTTTCGTGAACCTGTGCTGTCTGGGCCTGATCCCCTAGTTGTCTTGCACATGCTGTGTGATCTCACTCAAGATGATCTGTTCCATAGCTTTCCTTGGCACAGAGGTGAGGCTGACAGGCCTGTAGCTCCCTGTATGCTCCTTATGACTCTTCTTGTAGATGGGAGTCACAATGGCAAGCCTCCAGTCCTCTGGGACCTCTCCAGTTGACCAGGAATGCTGATGGATGGTGGAAAGCAGCTTGGTAATCACCTCTGCCAGCTCTCTCAGCACCCTCAGGTGGAGCCCATCTGGTCCCATGGACTTGTGACAGTCCAGATGGAATAGTAGGTCTCTGTTTCCATCTGAACCACGGGGTTTTACTCTGCTCCCCATCCCAGACTTTGAGGTCAGGGAGTAAAGTACCCTGAAAATAATCCGTCTGACTTTTAAAGACAGATGTAAAACAGGCATTGAGAACCTCAACCTTTTCCTTGTCCTCAGTGGTCATGTTCCCTGCCACACCCAGCAAAGGATGGCCGTTCTCCTTACCCCTAACCCCCTTTTATGGTTAACATTTGTGAAAAAAGTTTTTTATTCTCTTTTGCTACAGACTTGCCTTGCTGTTGGTTTTTATCACGGAGATAAAGCATCTCGTCCTTGTACTTTGCCTTCTGCTGTCCCTCCGCTTCCCCCATCTGGTTAATTTGTGTCATTTGATCTTAGCTGGTTCCAAATCCAAGGCTGAAAACCCCAAGAGCAGCTCGCTCTATCTGCCAAACCCAACAGGTTGTGCAAGAGTTTTGCCTGCTGCAGTGCAATGTTCACTGTCTGCTCCCCTTTGAGCTGAATATGGAGAGAGGTTGCACATCCTGTGACAGCTTAACATGCCATTCTGACTCACTTTCCTCAATTCTTGCCAGGAGCTGTGTGGAAATAAGTGAGAGCCTGTGATTTCTAGAGTAAAATCATGCTGGGATACACAAAATCAGAGGAATCTACAGAAAACAGGTACACGTCCCAAGACATCTACTGCATTTTTTATTGACAGTGCCTGCAAGTACAGGGCGAAAAAGCTTTCCTTGAGGTGATGGAACTAAAAAAGAAATACTGTGCTAGAAACCTAAAGAAGAATAATGCAATAAAATGCCATATAACACGACTAGATTAAAAACATCTCTGTGATTGTGTGGGTGATGCGGTGCAGTCAGCAACAGCAAAAAGACAAACAGAACATTTCCAGAAGGCATGGGAAAAGCCCTTGGAAGCCCAGTCAAGACTAAAGGCTCCACTGAAGAATGAACTAAAAAAGAGGCAAAGTGATCCTACACTGTTCGTCCTGCTGCCTACCACCGGGATCAGAGAGCGCTTCTCAGTTCTAGTTTAGAGAAGGGGTTTGCAAGCATTTTAAACGCAAAACTCTTTTACCTGTGCAGAGGCACAGTCATGTTCATTTCCCTGCTCTGGTAGCATTTAATGTTTCCTTGCTCTGAAGGAGTTTGATAGAACTCAAGCACCTGCCACAGTACTCTACAAGCCTTCATTTTGCAGAGGCTTTATAGGGTAACGTATCCTGGATGGGGACTAAAGAGTGTAGAGAGCCCTTCTCAAAGCTAGTCAGGATAAGAAAAACAACAACAACAAAATCTTATAGTGTGGTTCGAACTCTGAAGAATTCCTCTGAAAAACCAGTGCATGGTACTGCAGACGCAGTGTCAGGACACAGCATAGTCAAAAGTCACTCACAGATGGCTGTTCTAACAGTAATCTCTATTGATAAGGAACTGTCAGAGCAAAATAAATAACGGAGAGTATTCCAGTTTTGGATTTACCTGAGAAGAGCTCACTGCTTGGTACCTAAACCTTTTCCCAACCTTTTGCATGAGTGAAACGGCACCTGTCCTCCAGCTCCCTTTCCTTGAGGTCCCAAAGGTCTGTGTGTGACAGAAATGCTGTGTGGGACTGCAGGGCTGCGTGCCACGTGAGCTGCGGGGCAGCGCTGATAAGGAGGTGTCAGAGCTGGGTCTGACCGAGGGTGACTTTGCTATGATCGGTTCAACCCCTGTCGATGTCACAGACGTGTCTGTACTCACCAGCACTGTCCTCGAGCCACAGAGCTGCGAAACGCTGCGGGGCTACGCAGGGCTGACATCCTATATAAGAAAGAAGGGGAAAGGAGGGTCGCCGGTGTGCGTGGTGCCCGTGCTGACCGAGCAGCCGGCTGCGGGGCCAGAACCCGGGCTGGAAGGGCAGCGGTGTGACAGCCGGCCCTCTTCGGATCTCAGTCGCCGTCACCGCCCCACAAGGCTCCTTTCCTAAAGCGGCCCTACGCGCGGTGCCAGCTGCATTTCCTTTCCCGGCCTCCGCGCAGCCCGTCACGTCGCGGGATGGCAGCACCACCTCCTGCCGCTGCCCGGCTCCGCGGGGGGGGCCTTCAGGGCCGGGCGCCTCGGGGCCGCCCGCCGCGTCCCCGCCCGTAGGAGGACACGGCCGGCACGGCTCAGCCCCCTCCTGCCCGCGCGGGGCGGCTCCGTCCGCAGAGCGTCCCGCGGAGCCGGGCGGCGGCAGCATGGGGCTGGAGCTGTACCTGGATCTGCTCTCGCAGCCCTGCCGCTCCATCTACATCTTCGCCCGGACCAACAACATCCCGTTCGAGTTCAAGCACGTGGAGCTCTTCAAAGGTGAGGAGGGCTGGCAGGGCGGGCGGCGGGGCCGGGGGTCGGAGCCCCGCGCTCAGCGCTCCTCTCTCGGCTCTCGGCAGACTCGGTGCTGGGAAAGAAGCCGGCGGCGGCGGCGGCGAGCGGCGCGGAGCGGCCCCGCACAGGTGAGCTGCCGGCGGCGGTGTTCCTGCGGGCCGCGGGATCGAGCCGTGCCCGGCTGGCGGCGGCCCGGGCGGTAAGGCGACCCCGGCGGGAGGCCGCGCTGCGGGGCACGCTGTGGCGGCGGGCCGGGTGCTGGCAGCCCTGCGGTTGTTCAGGGCGTAGTGTTGGATGTCCGTCGGGCTGTGCGTGGCTGCAGGTGTGTTCCTGTGGCCGCTATGGGATGGAGGAGGAGTGAGGCAGCATCAGTGCTTAGGGACGTTCAACATCAGCGGGAGGAAGCACGTGAAATCACAGAATGGTTGGGGTTGGAAAGGACCCCCGAAGGCCGTTGCCAGCGCCTGCAGTGCACAGGGACACCCACAGCTCCAGCAGTGCTCACAGCCCCGTCCCCGACCGTCTGCAGGGATGGGGCAGCACCAGCTCTCTGGGCACCCTGTGCAGTGCCTCACCATCCCCCACTGTAAACAACTTCTTCCTTATATCCAATGTAAATCTCCCCTCTTTTAGTTTGGAACAGTTTCTCCTTGTCCGCAGACCTTGCTGAAGGGTCTGTCCCTTATTTCTTACAGCCCCTTTAGATACTGGAAGGCTGCTTTCCTCTCTCCCCAGAGCCTTCTTCTCTCCAGACTGCACAGTCCTGGTTCTCTCAACCTGTCCTCACAGGGAGGTGTTCCATCATTTCTGTGGTCCTCCTCCACATCTCTCCTGTGCTGAGGACCCCACATCTGGATGCAGTACTCCAGGTGAGGTCTCACAGTGTGGAGCAGAGGGACAGGATCACCTCCCTTGGCCTACTGGCCATGCATCTTTAGATGCAGCCATCTGGAACCTGGCAAAATGCAGGAGTTAGTGGAGCTGGAAGATCACCTACTCATAGGGGCAAGCAGGGGTGCAGAGCTCAGAGCCTTTTCCAGGGTTGTACCATCACAGTACTGCGTCCCATCCTTCCTGGGAGTCATAAAACAGGTGGCAAGGCCACACGCCACAGCTAAACCTGCTGCCAGCCTGCAAGCTCTGCTCAGCCTGCAGAGAGGGAAGGACGAGCTCATCAGGTGCGGTGTGGCTTTAAACACTCACCCTGCAGGCCCTCCTGAGCACAATGGCTGGGCCGTGCAGCTCCCAGAGCTGTCTCATAGCCATGCTGTGGCTATTTTTGTGGATCCCCAAGGAATGTTTCTCCAGCCATTTCTAGCAAATTAGTCACAGTGACAGTGACTGCTCTGGGATTGGTGTACTCAGAAACAGTCAGCTGTTCAGACTTGTCCAGCTGTATAAGAAGACTATTGAACGTTTGCATACTGTATTTCCCAGGTAAGTCATTTGTTATTTTTGTTGCCTAGGGCAGCACAGTACTTGGAAATCCTTGGCTGAACAGATTATTAGGCAGGGATGAGATTGGCAATCAAATTTTTTTTCCCTGTTTCTTTTGTAGAATTTTGTCTACTTCTCTTTTCACCATCAGTAGATCCTCCCTACACGAGGTATTTTTCCTGTGTGCAGACTGCCTTTCCTCTTGACAGTGTATATTCTAATTTAAATTATTCCTCAAAGCTCAGCAATACACAGTGTGTATATATATATACACACATAAATATACACGTATCTATTTATACATGCACATATATACCCTTGTGAGTATACTAACTGCTATTACTAATTACACCAGATGCAACTGATGTTAAACAACTGTAAGTCAAGGGAATGCCACAGGATCACTTAAAGATGGGCCACAAACAAGAAATGGCTCTGCTTGCTGGGAAGGGCACAGTATTGAACTCTGCTAAACTACAAATACCAATACTGATCTCTTTGTTATTGCAATAAACAACCAGTCCCACTGGAATAACCTCCAATCAGTGTTCATACCAAAGCTTTTATCGCTTTGCAGCCGAGTTTCTGCTCAGGTCTTTTTTGTCTGTATGAACCAAAGCAAGTCAGATGCTATCTCCGTGCTGCAAGTGCAGTCTGTGTAACAAATGCTGGCCCCCTGTCAAATGTGCTGTAGTGCTGTGTTAGGACTGACACAGTATGAAAACAGGCTGAAATCTGATTCAGCTGCCCTGATCCACTGCTTACTTCTCGTATCACTGTTTCTCAATTGCTTGCTACCCTGGATAATAAACAAACAGTAGATCGTAACAGCTAACCAGCTGGGTCCAAGAACTGGCTGCTCATTATTTATCAAAGCTACTGACTTGCAGTTTTATGCTGTGTTTTTCTAAGGACCGCTTGAGCTGTGCACACCTTGCCCAAGCTGGGTGTGATGACCACTAGCTATTGGAGCCCCTCTAGATTCACAGGCTCAAGCACTTTCCTGAGCAGCTCCTTGGATGACAAAGATGTACACAATTTTCCATACAGATTTTTTGTGATATAAATCATAGACAAAAGGTCCCTTGTGCTTTGCCAACTGGCTTGATTTTCTAGGAGTGTTTTTAACGCTCAAGTTTCTCAATTAAAGGGCTTGTTACCTCACACGGTCAGGCTCCAATTCTTTAGCAACCCTTTATTCTGAGCTTTTGTACACTGCTGCCTGCTTCTGCTCTGTGCATAGAACCTCTCACCCAGCTAAACTTGAGCTAAACATTGTCACTGCAGGCAGCTAGAAACATTGCCCACAGGAGAAGTGAGTTTAAATCCCTGCAGACAGCAGATGGATGTGAGCCTTGCTCCCCGTGAAGCTACTTGTATGGGAAGTTAAAAGCTTTTCTCTAAGAAGAAGCGAGGCAGGGGCTAGTCAGCTAGCAGTGAGAATAGGGCAGTAATGTTTGCTCTTTGGTTTATCTCACGTGAAGTCAGTGCTGGGAAAGTTGTCAGAGGCTTTGCAGTGTTCTGTAAGTTGCAGTGCAGGAATCCTGCTTTCTCCCATCCCTTCTTTCACAGCCAGCTGTAAATAAACCTAGTAGTCCAAAGTCTTTTTTATGGCTTGGAGATGTTTCACACTGTCCATTAAAGCAGCCACTAGCACCTCCTTCTGTACGGCAGCAAATGGTTCTTGGGGATGTAGAACCTTGTTAGTTAACAGCACTTCTTTTTTTTTTTTCTTTTTGGATAGAAGGGATTTTTGTTATGAAAACTTCTGCTGGTCACACTGGTTTGATTTGATCAGGATTTGCAGCCTGGCACATCTCCTTATAGAAAGCATGTAAGACAAACAAAGTAAACAAAGCCCTTCAATCGTTTTTTTTGTACCAGTTCCTGGAGTTTTATGCAATCTCCTGGCATTTAACTGCTGACTCACAAGTTCAGTGCCTTCAGTGAGAAACTGAAAACTTGATTAGATAGGCAGCTATGAATGCCTTCGAACTCCTGTGACTGTGGAGTTCAAACTCTTTTATGGGCTGGCTTCTTCCTCTGATGTTTTCCTGACACAGGAGGTTTATTTGCTGGCTTATAGCTGGCAGTAATGCAAAATAGAGATGTCAGAGCTCCTCTGACCCCGGTGATTGGCCGTGGTGGCAGAATGAGTTACTTTGCAAGTTCACTGTTATATTGCTGATACTCATATTTTTCCCATCCCAGCAAGAGCTGGAATTAGCCTCTGCTGCATGTCTGCTGAGGGATCAGCTCTGCTGACAGCGTTTGCTTTCTTTGGGAATGATTGATTTCCTCTGCTCTTTGGAGTCAAACAAGGGAAGGATTCTGCTCCATGAGTCTTATAAGCCACCCGGGTAGTCTTGGATTAATTAGCCGCTGCAGGGATCTCCGTGGGCACAAAGGTTTTAAATCACTTTCCATCACGACTCCATCCCAATTAGTGTCAGCCTTGTTAACAAACTGAAGGAAAATGACTCTGTTTTGGTGTTGTATGTTGGAAAAAGGAGCAGGAGTGGCATCCGTTTGCCCTCACTGGGGTGCTCTGCATGCAAACTCAGCCTTTCCAGACCACTCTTTGTGTTTATCTAAGTCTTTTTTCCCCCCATTTCTGAAACCACAGGACAAGATTTCAAGTCAAGTTAGTGTTTTCAGAACCAATATCTTCGTCTGTTTTCTGGATGCCTCATTGGGAATGATTTTTGAGAAAGTTTTGGTAGTGTTGTTGGTAACAAACAACTGAATTGCTGTGTAGAAGTGAACTGCACCTTGCTGTGTGACATGGCTGAGCAGACTGCAGGCTGTAGATGGCTTTTGCATTGGCTCTTCAATTTCACTTTCAAAATATGACATAGGAAAAGAAACAGCAAAGTTCACAGATTTTCCAGTTGGTTACAGGTGGTGGATACAATTCTAACCTCTGATTTGTCCATTCCTGTTCTCAGGGCCATCAAATAGTGAAGGGGCTGGCAAAATCAGTCTCTTGAAGAAAGTACCAGCACTGAAGGACGGAGACTTCACCCTGGCAGAATGGTAAGAACTCAACCCTCGGAGTTCCTTGGATACCAGTAATATGAATAGTGTTTAGGGGGTGTCATTCCCTCTGGATGACTCAGAACTGGCAGTAAGCATTTATGAATAGGAAAGATTAGTGATCTACTTTGACATTTCAGCTCCTTTGTTCTTAAAAGTTAGATACCAATATGCACATTTATGATAAGCAGTTAAAGATACGCATTATTTCAGGTGGACATGAGCCATACTTGGAGATGAA